TGTCCATAAATGTTAATATTTGTCCTGAACACTATTGGCACTGAAGTGAAAAGAAATAGAGATTTAATGTACATTTTAGAAGTTATAAGAATGGCACACAGTTTATATAGATGTACCCATATCATTTACATATTAGGACTTCAAACACTGGTGGCAATCGTGGATTTTCATGAAATATATTTATATATTTGTTTACTGACAGGCACTGATCACTAGGACACAAGCACACAAACAGAACTCACACTGCACCACACTCAAGGACCAGGGAAATAGTAAAAGAGTAAAAATACAATACAATTTATTCTTGTATCGCCCTAAATCACAACAGCATCATCTCAGAGAAAACCATTGAAATCACCAACACAGATCAGAGAATCAAAAGATAAAACACAAATATACACATATGTATTGGACCATATGGAGAGACCGATGTCCATGAATGTTGATAAATGTCATACATGTAGAATGTTAAAGTGTCCTGGATCATCACAGTCCTTCTAGTTGGACACTACTGTAACTGTCCCACAGACTCCTGCATCAGAGGAAAGACTCTCATGGTGCGTTCAGACCGGATCATGCTGCGTCGGGTTTCAATGCAAAGTCTACGGTGACGAGCGTTCGAGCGTCACAACGCACGGACCTCTCGGCGCGCACAGACTGTTCAGTAGACACACACGGACTGTTCAGTAGACACACACGGACTGTTCAGTAGACACGCACAGACTGTTCAGTAGACACACACGGACTGTTCAGTAGACACACACGGACTGTTCAGTAGACACACACGGACTGTTCAGTAGACACACACGGACTGTTCAGTAGACACACACAGACTGTTCAGTAGACACACACGGACTGTTCAGTAGACACACACGGACTGTTCAGTAGACACGCACAGACTGTTCAGTAGACACACACGGACTGTTCAGTAGACACACACGGACTGTTCAGTAGACACACACGGACTGTTCAGTAGACACGCACGGACTGTTCAGAAGACACACACAGACTGTTCAGTAGACACACACGGACTGTTCAGTAGACACACACAGACTGTTCAGTAGAGACGCACGGACTGTTCAGTAGACACACACGGACTGTTCAGTAGAGACGCACGGACTGTTCAGTAGACACACACGGACTGTTCAGTAGACACGCACGGACTGTTCAGTAGACACGCACGGACTGTTCAGAAGACACACACAGACTGTTCAGTAGACACACACAGACTGTTCAGTAGACACACACGGACTGTTCAGTAGACACGCACGGACTGTTCAGAAGACACACACAGACTGTTCAGTAGACACACACGGACTGTTCAGTAGAGACGCACGGACTGTTCAGTAGACACACACGGACTGTTCAGTAGACACGCACGGACTGTTCAGAAGACACACACAGACTGTTCAGTAGACACACACGCACTGTTCAGTAGACACACACGGACTGTTCAGTAGACACACACAGACTGTTCAGTAGACACGCACGGACTGTTCAGTAGACACACACAGACTGTTCAGTAGACACGCACGGACTGTTCAGTAGACACGCACGGACTGTTCAGTAGACACACACGGACTGTTCAGTAGACACGCACAGACTGTTCAGTAGACACACACGGACTGTTCAGTAGACACACACGGACTGTTCAGTAGACACGCACGGACTGTTCAGTAGACACACACGGACTGTTCAGTAGACACGCACGGACTGTTCAGTAGACACGCACGGACTGTTCAGTAGACACACACAGACTGACTGTTCAGTAGACACACACGGACTGTTCAGTAGACACGCACGGACTGTTCAGTAGACACACACGGACTGTTCAGTAGACACACACGGACTGTTCAGTAGACACGCACGGACTGTTCAGTAGACACACACAGACTGTTCAGTAGACACACACGGACTACACACACAGACTGTTCAGTAGACACACACGGACTGTTCAGTAGACACACACGGACTGTTCAGTAGACACACACAGACTGTTCAGTAGACACACACGGACTGTTCAGTAGACACGCACGGACTGTTCAGTAGACACACACGGACTGTTCAGTAGACACACACGGACTGTTCAGTAGACACACACGGACTGTTCAGTAGACACACACAGACTGTTCAGTAGACACACACAGACTGTTCAGTAGACACGCACGGACTGTTCAGTAGACACACACAGACTGTTCAGTAGACACACACAGACTGTTCAGTAGACACACACGGACTGTTCAGTAGACACGCACGGACTGTTCAGAAGACACACACAGACTGTTCAGTAGACACACACGCACTGTTCAGTAGACACACACGGACTGTTCAGTAGACACACACAGACTGTTCAGTAGACACGCACGGACTGTTCAGTAGACACACACAGACTGTTCAGTAGACACACACGGACTGTTCAGTAGACACACACAGACTGTTCAGTAGACACACACGGACTGTTCAGTAGACACGCACGGACTGTTCAGTAGACACACACAGACTGTTCAGTAGACACACACGGACTACACACACAGACTGTTCAGTAGACACACACGGACTGTTCAGTAGACACACACAGACTGTTCAGTAGACACACACAGACTGTTCAGTAGACACGCACGGACTGTTCAGTAGACACACACAGACTGTTCAGTAGACACACACAGACTGTTCAGTAGACACACACAGACTGTTCAGTAGACACACACAGACTGTTCAGTAGACACGCACAGACTGTTCAGTAGACACGCACAGACTGTTCAGTAGACACACACAGACTGTTCAGTAGACACACACAGACTGTTCAGTAGACACACACAGACTGTTCAGTAGACACACACAGACTTGGCGGGAAAGTCAAAGGGAGGAGCAGGAGTGAAAAATGGACGCCCACAGGAGATGGATTCTGCTCATCCTTTCCTTGGGACGTTCGTGCAGCGACCAATCAGAGAGCAGCAAAGTGGTCACGGGGACATTAGCGGACTGAGCGAGCAGACTGAAAATACTGTAAACAGCCAAAACAGGACCCACACCAGACTTCACCAGAACTCAAACCAGGGCTGACAATGGGGGACTCTGTGCTTGTGAACATATGGGTTGTCATGCTCCCGTGACCTTATGCAACTGCTTCGAGTGTGTTCGCCGATGCGGAAATACCGTTTAATAATATGAAAACAAGTATTGCGCACCTCCGTGAACACATACTACTGTTGTATAAAGCCCGTGGAATGTTTGTGAGCAAAGACACGCTGCAAAGCTGCATATTGGAGAAGATCTGTACACAAGAAGCCGCTAGCATAGCTCTGTTAGCATCAGAGCCGGCCGGCTACTTCCGGCACTTCCGGTGAGCGTCAGGACATCTCGGTGTGAAGACCTCTGCGTCTGAAAGCTAGAGAATGCGCGTCTGTTGAGCGGGGCTTCAGCATTTCAGCGTTGGCGGTCTGAATGCACCATAAAACCCAGTAGGAGAAAAGTGAGAAACCTCAGGGAGACCCACATTGAGAGAGGGATCCGCTCCACACGGACTGGCTACTGATCCAGGACCTAAGCTACAGAAGCTAAATCCTGTGGCATGAGGTTTAAGTGAATCTTGACACAATCGGTTGTTTTAAACAGTACTTTCGACTTATATCAATCGTGGCGCCTCAAGGGTTGAACGTCCTGGATCATGCTCATGTCGTCTTTGCTAACCTCCTGTTTCTCCTCAGCTGACAGCAGCAGACTCGGACGTCGGCACAGACTCGGACACGGAGCCGGGGCTGAAACAGGAGCGAGAGCAGCACAAGAGGCTGCTGTCGGAGAGCCACAGCGCCACCTTGGACCTGCGCTGGAAACTGCAGCACGGGGAGAAGAGGTGGAGCCGCGAGAAGAGCGAGCTCATGGATCAGTTTGAGCGCGAGAGGCAGGAGTGGGACAGCAGCATGAGGGAGATGCACCGCAAGATGGAGAAGGTAAGAGCGAAAGGTCCCAGGTCTCTCCAAGATGTCTGCCACTGGTCTCTCCAAGATGTCTGCCACTGGTCTCTCCAAGATGTCTGCCACTGGTCTCTCCCAGATGTCTGCCACTGGTCTCTCCAAGAGGTCTGGTTAGTTCTGGTTCTCCTGGTCTTGTGCAATAGGTGTGCAGTGGTTCTACATCCGTGGGACCAGAATGTTCAGACCTATCAGAGACCACAGAGAGACCAGAGAGACCAGAGAGAGACCAGAGGGAGACCAGAGAGAGACCAGTGAGAGAGACCAGTGAGAGAGACCAGTGAGAGAGACCAGAAAGAGACCAGAGAGAGACCAGAGAGACCAGAGAGAGACCAGAGAGAGACCAGAGAGAGACCAGTGAGAGACCAGTGAGAGACCAGTGAGAGACCAGAGAGAGACCAGAGAGAGACCAGAGAGAGACCGTGACCAGAGAGAGACCAGTGAGAGAGACCAGTGAGAGAGACCAGTGAGAGAGACCAGAAAGAGACCAGAGAGAGAGCAGAGAGAGTCCAGTGAGAGACCAGTGAGAGACCAGTCAAAGACCAGTGAGAGACCAGTCAAAGACCAGTGAGAGACCAGAGAGACCAGTCAAAGACCAGTGAGAGACCAGAGAGAGACCAGTGAGACACCAGAGAGAGACCAGTCAAAGACCAGTGAGAGACCAGTGAGAGACCAGAGAGAGACCAGAGAGAGACCAGAGAGAGACCAGAGAGAGACCAGAGAGAGACCAGAGAGAGACCAGAGAGAGACCAGAGAGAGACCAGTCAAAGACCAGTGAGAGACCAGAGAGAGACCAGAGAGAGACCAGAGAGAGACCAGAGAGAGACCAGAGAGAGACCAGTCAAAGACCAGTGAGAGACCAGAGAGAGACCAGTGAGACACCAGAGAGAGGCCTAAGAAATGTCCAAGAGGAGGAAGATTGTGGCTCTCAATTATTATTATGGTCAAAACTAATGTATAATATTCTTCTATAGGATCAGGTTTAGGGCTTTTCTCAGCTGGATGTTGTGAAGTGTTGCTCAAAAACAGAAGAAACCCCATAATTTTGGTTCCAAACGTGTGCGTGAGGCGGTCTACAGCAGAGGAGGGGACTCGGGATCAGTGAATAATTGATGTTTGCAGTGAGCCGCAGAAACAACGCCAGGATTCAGCTTCACTCTCATTCAACACAGAGAGAGCTGCCTCCAGACCATGCAAACACAGCCACACGTTAGCCACACGTTAGCATAACACTAGCCACACGTTAGCCACACGTTAGTACAACACTAGCCACACGTTAGCCACACGTTAGCACAACACTAGCCACACGTTAGCCAAACATTAGCCACACTTTAGCCAAACATTAGCCACACGTTAGCCACACTTTAGCCAAACATTAGCCAAACATTAGCCACACTTTAGCCAAATATTAGCCACACTTTAGCCACACTTTAGCATAACACTAGCCACACGTTAGCCAAACATTAGCCACACTTTAGCCAAACATTAGCCACACGTTAGCCACACGTTAGCATAACATTAGCCACATGTTAGCCAAACATTAGCCACACAAATAGCCAAACATTAGCAAAACGTTAGCATAACATTAGCCACACGTTAGCCAAACATTAGCCAAACATTAGCCACACTTTAGCCTAGGGCTGAAACAACTAATCGATTAATCGACGACTAATCGATTATTGAAATAGTCGACAACTATTTTAGTAATCGATTAATCGTTTTCTGGTTCACACGGACTCAAACAGAGCAAAAATGACATGAAAATGTAGTATTTTTGATTAAAACCGACTTTGTTTTTATAATTTCATGAATATCTGTCTGTCTCATCCAATCAGAGCAGAATTAGCACAAAGAGCCTGTAACAAACATTTACTTTAGGTTTACGCCATCAATACGTCCTCGAGTGTTGCCACTTTAGCTTTTTGTGATGAAAAAATATTTTTTTTCTACACAATTCACAGCCAAGCGATTACTCGATTAATCGTAAAAATAATCGATAGATTAATCGATTACAAAATAATCGTTAGTTGCAGCTCTACTTTAGCCACACGTTAGCCAAATGTGCCGATGTGAACAGACAGAAGATGCATTAGTCACACGTGCAGGAAGAGAGCAAAGAAGGGCAAGGAAATGGGAGGAATGGAAAGGAAGGGTATCTGTGAAACTAGTTTAAATACTGTATTTTCACTGGTACCTTTGTAAAATAGTGGTAAAATTCTGTAAAACTCCACATTCCACAGAAGTTATAGTTAAACACTGTGGTGGAGAAACATAGTTCTTGGTAACTATGGACCAAGATCCATCTCAGAAAAATTGTCCGACTCCGCCCCTCTCCCTCCCCTCACACTACCGCCATACTCCTGACTCCGCCCCTCTCCCTCCCCTCACACCACCGCCATACTCCTGACTCCGCCTCTCTCCCTCCCCTCACACCACCGCCATACTCCTGACTCCGCCTCTCTCCCTCCCCTCACACCACCGCCATACTCCTGACTCCGCCTCTCTCCCTCCCCTCACACCACCGCCATACTCCTGACTCCGCCTCTCTCCCTCCCCTCACACTACCGCCATACTCCTGACTCCGCCTCTCTCCCTCCCCTCACACCACCGCCATACTCCTGACTCCGCCCCTCTCCCTCCCCTCACACCACCGCCATACTCCTGACTCCGCCTCTCTCCCTCCCCTCACACCACCGCCATACTCCTGACTCCGCCTCTCTCCCTCCCCTCACACCACCGCCATACTCCTGACTCCGCCTCTCTCCCTCCCCTCACACCACCGCCATACTCCTGACTCCGCCTCTCTCCCTCCCCTCACACTACCGCCATACTCCTGACTCCGCCTCTCTCCCTCCCCTCACACCACCGCCATACTCCTGACTCCGCCTCTCTCCCTCCCCTCACACTACCGCCATACTCCTGACTCCGCCTCTCTCCCTCCCCTCACACTACCGCCATACTCCTGACTCCGCCTCTCTCCCTCCCCTCACACCACCGCCATACTCCTGACTCCGCCTCTCTCCCTCCCCTCACACTACCGCCATACTGCTGACTCCGCCTCTCTCCCTCCCCTCACACCACCGCCATACTCCTGACTCCGCCTCTCTCCCTCCCCTCACACTACCGCCATACTCCTGACTCCGCCTCTCTCCCTCCCCCTCACACTACCGCCATACTCCTGACTCCGCCTCTCTCCCTCCCCTCACACCACCGCCATACTCCTGACTCCGCCCCTCTCTCTCCCCTCCACACTACCGCCATACTCCTGACTCCGCCCCTCTCTCTCCCCTCACACTACCGCCATACTCCTGACTCCGCCCCTCTCTCTCCCCTCACACCACTGCCATACTCCTGACTCCGCCCCTCTCCCTCCCCTCACTCCACCGCCATACTCCTGACTCCGCCTCTCTCCCTCCCCTCACACCACCGCCATACTCCTGACTCCGCCCCTCTCTCTCCCCTCACACTACCGCCATACTCCTGACTCCGCCCCTCTCTCTCCCCTCACACTACCGCCATACTCCTGACTCCGCCCCTCTCTCTCCCCTCACACCACTGCCATACTCCTGACTCCGCCCCTCTCTCTCCCCTCACACTACCGCCATACTCCTGACTCCGCCCCTCTCTCTCCCCTCACACCACCGCCATACTCCTGACTCCGCCCCTCTCTCTCCCCTCACACTACCGCCATACTCCTGACTCCGCCTCTCTCCCTCCCCTCACACTACCGCCATACTCCTGACTCCGCCTCTCTCCCTCCCCTCACACCACCGCCATACTCCTGACTCCGCCCCTATCTCTCCCCTCACACTACCGCCATACTCCTGACTCCGCCCCTCTCTCTCCCCTCACACCACTGCCATACTCCTGACTCCGCCCCTCTCCCTCCCCTCACTCCACCGCCATACTCCTGACTCCGCCCCTCTCTCTCCCCTCACACCACTGCCATACTCCTGACTCCGCCCCCCTCTCTCTCCCCTCACACTACCGCCATACTCCTGACTCCGCCCCTCTCTCTCCCCTCACACCACCGCCATACTCCTGACTCCGCCCCTCTCTCTCCCCTCACACTACCGCCATACTCCTGACTCCGCCCCTCTCTCTCCCCTCACTCCACCGCCATACTCCTGACTCCGCCCCTCTCCCTCCCCTCACTCCACCGCCATACTCCTGACTCCGCCCCTTCTCTCTCTCCCCTCACACTACCGCCATACTCCTGACTCCGCCTCTCTCCCTCCCCTCACACTACCGCCATACTCCTGACTCCGCCTCTCTCCCTCCCCTCACACCACCCGCCATACTCCTGACTCCGCCCCTATCTCTCCCCTCACACTACCGCCATACTCCTGACTCCGCCCCTATCTCTCCCCTCACACTACCGCCATACTCCTGACTCCGCCTCTCTCCCTCCCCTCACACTACCGCCATACTCCTGACTCCGCCTCTCTCTCCCCTCACACCACTGCCATACTCCTGACTCCGCCCCTCTCCCTCCCCTCACTCCACCGCCATACTCCTGACTCCGCCCCTCTCTCTCCCCTCACACCACTGCCATACTCCTGACTCCGCCCCTCTCTCTCCCCTCACACTACCGCCATACTCCTGACTCCGCCCCTCTCTCTCCCCTCACACCACCGCCATACTCCTGACTCCGCCCCTCTCTCTCCCCTCACACTACCGCCATACTCCTGACTCCGCCCCTCTCTCTCCCCTCACTCCACCGCCATACTCCTGACTCCGCCCCTCTCCCTCCCCTCACTCCACCGCCATACTCCTGACTCCGCGCCTCTCTCTCCCCTCACTCCACCGCCATACTCCTGACTCCGCCCCTCTCTCTCCCCTCACTCCACCGCCATACTCCTGACTCCGCCCCTCTCTCTCCCCTCACACTACCGCCATACTCCTGACTCCGCCCCTCTCCCTCCCCTCACTCCACTGCCATACTCCTGACTCCGCCCCTCTCTCTCCCATCACTCCACCGCCATACTCCTGACTCCGCCTCTCTCTCCCCTCACTCCACCGCCATACTCCTGACTCCGCCTCTCTCTCTCCCCTCACTCCACCGCCATACTCCTGACTCCGCCTCTCTCTCCCCTCACTCCACTGCCATACTCCTGACTCCGCCCCTCTCTCTCCCATCACTCCACCGCCATACTCCTGACTCCGCCTCTCTCTCCCCTCACTCCACCGCCATACTCCTGACTCCGCGCCTCTCTCTCCCCTCACTCCACCACCATACTCACACACAGCCTCGTCACCTCCTGCCACAACTATTGGAACTCCCTCCTGTTCCCTCCATCAACCACATGACCCCTGTCCTCACCCCCTCCATCAACCACATGACCCCTGTCCTCACCCCCTCCATCAACCACATGACCCCTGTCCTCACCCCCTCCATCAACCACATGACCCCTGTCCTCACCCCCTCCATCAACTCCATTTACTTGTGCACTTGAGTGTCAAAAAAGGCGCCTAAGAAATAAAATGTATTATTATTATTATTATGGCGGCAAGTGTTGAGTCAGATTTCAGGTTAAAAACAGTTATCGTCAGTCTTTTCAATGTGCTGTGATATTTATGAATTTAACGTCTTGTGTGACTGTTTCTATCTTTGTTCGGCCCTTTGAGTTTCCTTGTGTTTGAACTGTGCCATACAAATAAACTTATCATGCCACTCACCGCCTGCTCCTTCTCTCAGCTGCAGAGAGAGCTGGATCTGCACCGGGCTGAAGCCGCAGCTGCCCCCACGGTGCCCACCACGCGCTCGCACTCGGACTCGGAGGCGGTGCTGCAGGAGCAGAGGGTCCGAGGTCCCACAGAGAACCCAGTGGTGGACGCTCTGACCCTGGACCCTCTGAGTCTGGACGTCCCACTCTCAGGCCTGGACTGTGAGAAGAGGTTCCCCTGCATGAAGGAGGTGCGTCCTCTCTGGAAACTACATTTAAAGGAGCAGTGTGTACAAATGTGGCCAAAAGTGGTACTGCAGCCTCTCCCACTCTCCCTGACTCAGGTTGCCAGATATGCAGACGAATCCAGCTGGGACCATAACAGCTGAATAGACAAGAGTTTAGTCAACAACAAATCTATAACCAACACCTTTTTCACAAAGATAGAAATCCTGGTTTTATTCCTTGTTTTGTCGTTAATGATTTGAGAATCATAACGAGACCTTTTTTAGTTCTGCGCCACATGGTACTTTACCAGTGAGATTAGCTCCACGCGGTGAGTTCTGGCGCCCGGATCACAGACTTTCTGATTGGTGAAACGGTGGAGGGCGGGACATCGAAATGAAAACAAAATTTAGAGGGTGTAAAAGTAATTTTCAAATCCAAATATCTCTGAACTACTGTTATCAGTTAAAGAAGTATTGGAGAAGACCATGTTTTATTAATGCCTTATATTGCGACTTTAAAGCACACACACAGTTTACAAATGGGCAGGAAACGTTTTGGTAAATTTCCATGAGAAGTCAAACTGGGGAATTTTGGGAATATTCCATTAAAATGAAATGTATTTTTTGTATCCAGGCATTTTTCTGTTCTGTCTGATGTACTGCATGAGATCCTTGAAAACTCGATTAATTGCACTTTGGGAAACCGTCACACAGACACAGAGCCCAGGAGTGATGAATTACATGTCCAGGCATCTCGAAATCTTCTGCACATGTGATGGAGGCACGGGGCCAGCAGGGGGCGTGGTCTCAACGACCTCTAGGGATTGAGTTTATATGAACGGCATCTGTTTGTTTTAGTCAAGATTATACTGAAATAACCTTTCTTTCACTATATTTAAACTCCCAACCTTCGATTTGGAAGACGCCCATTTCATTCCTGTTTATTCCCATTAATTCCGATGCATTTTTGTTTTCCGGAATTTAGCAACCCGAGTCACACATTTATTTGAGCTTTTGGTTCTCTTGTCAAAACAGACCTGGAGCCCCCCGGTCCCACTGTTACCGATGAGACTTTGGAAATGAGAATATGGAGATTTATACATACATTTTACAGTAATGATGTATTAGATGAAGTGGAAATATTAACTTGAATGTTTGTTTTAAGAGATAGTCTTCTTGCCAACTCTAGAAACTTTGTATTCCTTCTTATTTTGTGAATAAAACAAATTTTTGAAGAGATTTGAGCTGATTTTCCAGAGAGCAGCAGCCATCGCAGACATTTCTCCGTTTCTTCCGTCCGGACATGACTAATGTTGACAAATTTCACAAAGCTGAAGTCTGCAGAATGAGTAATGCGTGTTTTGTAGAATAAAAATGTAAATAAAACGATTTAAAGAGATTACAAAGCGAAGCAAGCAGCGGAGCAGTAAGGAACACGTCTGCACACTCCAAGCAGGAAGTGAATTGTGCTATACAAATAAACTTGCCTTGCCTTGCCTTACATGTACCAAACACATGTAGGTCTGCACCAAAACCAAACTGAACCTAAAAATAACCTGAGCCTTCACTTTACATCTGAGTCCTGTGTAGGAGGAGACATGGCAAGGCAAGTTTATTTGTATAGCACAATTCATACACAAGGCAACTCAAAGTGCTGAACACGATAGCATTAAAATCATAAATAATCACAGAACATTAAAACGAAAGATAAAAATATAAAATCCCTCAGTTGTAGCACAGCTAAACAGAACTGTCTTTAATCTGGTTTTAAACATTGTCAGAGAGGAGGCCTGTCTCACATCTTCAGGAAGACTGTTCCAGATTTTAGCAGCATGAATCTAATTTAATAGAAGCCTCACCACCAAATTTCAAATTTGAACATGAAACACGAGAAAATAAAAGGGGGGGGGGCATAGCAGCAGTTTTTAAAGATCGTATTGTCTCCCATAGGGTGTCTCTTGGGAAATTTTCATCATTTGAGTATGTTTCTTTTAAAATAGAACAAAAGAAATCTTCTTCCATTCTTATTATTGTTGTGTACAAGCCGCCACAGTCATGCCATAGTTTCACTGATCATTTCACTGAGTTGCTTTCAGTTGTGTGCACAGATTTTGATGGTTTAGTCATTATAGGCGATTTTAATATTCATGTGGATAATGTTAATGACAGATACGCAAAAGAGCTGAGTTCCATACTTGAATCCTTTGGCCTCACTCAGCATGTGAGTGGCCCCACCCATAGCAGAGGACACACCTTGGACCTGCTTATCACGAAAGGGGTGAATATTTCAAAAGTTAATGTAGTTGATGTTGCTCTGTCGGATCATTTCTGTGTATTTTTTAACATGTGTTTTGCTACCAGACCACCCGCTAAATATGAAATTGTTAGAAGTAGACACTTAAATGAAAACACGGGTGAACTATTTATGGGAATGATCCATTTTGAGAACGCATCATGTTCTACTGTAGATGAACTGCTTAACTCTGTCACCTCTAGTGTGTTGAATGTTCTGGACGCCATTGCCCCTGTGAAGGTAAAAATGGTCACAAATAAGCAAAAAGCCCCATGGATAAAAGCAGGCCCGGTCAGGGCACAGAAGCAAGAGTGCCGGAGAGCAGAGAGAAAGTGGAGAAAGTCCAACCTCCAGGGTGATTATAGACTCTTAAAAGAGAAGTTGTGTGAGTTTAACAGAGTACTACGTAGAACAAGAGAATTATACTTTTCTGAAACTATTGAAGGCTGCAGCAACAATCTGCGTGTTCTATTTTCAACAATCAATAGATTAACGAATCCCCCTGTTGAGTTGCCATTAGAACACTACTCCAAATCCAGGTGTAATGAGTTTGCACAGTTCTTCAGAGACAAGGTTCAGGGTATCAGAAATGCCATCACCTCTACAACACAAGTAACAATGCAACATCCAGTGAGGCTTTGTGAGCTAGCTCAATTTGCACCTGTCAATGATGAAACTGTTAAAAAGATAATCACAGGTCTTAGTTCCTCTACCTGCAGTCTGGATGTACTACCTCCTAGATTTCTGAAGTCTGTTATGTGTAGTCTATTACCCTCATTGACACAAATAGTAAACATGTCTTTTTTATCTGGAACATTTCCAATGGCCCTGAAAAAGTTAGGCCCCTCCTAAAAAAGAGCAGTTTGGATGCTGCGGTACTTGAAAATTACCGTCCCATCTCAAATCTGCCTTTCATGGGAAAAATTCTTGAAAAAGTTGCCTACCAACAACTTACTGAATTTTTAATATCTAATGACTCATTTGACATGTTTCAGTCTGGCTTTAGACCACACCACAGTACTGAGACCGCTCTAGTCAAGGTAACAAATGATATTCGGCTTAACACTGATGCAGGAAAAGTCTCTGTTTTAGTCATGTTAGATCTGAGTGCCACTTTCGACACCGTTGACCATGAGATTCTCATGCAGAGACTGGAGGACTGGGTTGGTGTTGCTGGTACCGCCCTAAGCTGGTTTAGGTCCTATCTAGAAGAAAGGAAGTATTGTGTGGAGATTAGAAACTATGTCTCAGATAATATGGCCCTGACCTGCGGAGTGCCACAGGGGTCGATTCTGGGACCTCTCCTGTTCAATATTTACATGCTGCCATTAGGTCAGTTAATTCAAAGTATGAAAGTGTCCTACCACAATTACGCTGATGACACTCAGATCTATGTCTCACTGACTGCAGGAGAGCATGGGCCGGTGGACTCACTCCTTCGCTGTATCCAGCGGATCAGTGAGTGGATGCAATGCAATTTTCTCCAGCTAAATGCGGACAAAACCGAAATGATTGTCTTTGGTCCCGAGAAACAAAGAGAGACCGTCATTTGTCACCTTCAGTCTCTCTCCCTAAGGCCCTTAAATAAGGTCAGAAATCTGGGAGTAATAATGGACTCTGACTTAAACTTCAATAGCCACATTGGATCGCTAACATCAGCAGCTTTTTATCATCTGAAAAATATTGCCAAAATTAAAAATATTGTGTCCAGGGCAGACTTGGAGATTCTTATCCATTCTTTTGTTTCCAGTAGGCTGGATTACTGCAATGGCCTGCTCACAGGTATCTCCAAACATGCAGTAAGACAGTTGCAGTATATTCAAAATGCTGCAGCCCGAGTCCTGACTAGAACCAGGAAGTACGACCACATTAGTCCGGTCCTCAGGTCTCTGCACTGGCTTCCCGTGGCCCAGAGAATAGACTTTAAAGCAGCTCTCCTGGTGTACAAGTCTCTCCATGGCCTTGCACCAAAGTACATCCATGATATGCTAGTCCCATATGAACCAGCCCGGACTCTGAGGAGCGCAGGGACGGGACTCCTGTTAGTGCCCAGAGTCAGGACTAGACAGGGGGAGGCTGCTTTTCAGATTTATGCAGCTAAAGTCTGGAACAGTCTTCCTGAGGATGTGAGACTGGCTGCCTCTCTGTCAATGTTCAAATCCATGTTAAAGACTTTTCTTTTTTCCCGTGCATACAACTAGAGAATTTTATCTTTTTAACACACCTTGTTATTTATTGTTGTAACTTTTTGTGTTTTTAACTATTTTATTGTTTTTAATTACTTGTGTGATTTTTATGTTTTTAAATTACTTATGTGATTTTAATGCTTTTTAATTACATATGTGTTTTTAATTGTATTTTAATGGTGATGATTTGTGCATTGTGTGGTGTGGACTGTGAGGCGCTTTGTGTTGCCCTGTGCAGGAAAAGCGCCCTATAAATAAAGATTGATTGATTGATTGATTGATCTGAAAAGCAGCCTCCCCATGTTTAGTTCTGACTCTGGGCACTAACAGGAGTCCAGTCCCTGTGCTCCTCAGAGTCCCAGCAGGAGGCCAGTCCCTGTGCTCCTCAGAGTCCCAGCAGGAGTCCAGTCCCTGTGCTCCTCAGAGTCCGGGCTGGTTCATATGGGACTAACATGTCACTAATATATTTTGGTGCGAGGCCATAGAGAGACTTGTAACAAGCAGAGCTGTTTTAAAGTCTATTCTCTGAGCCACAGGAAGCCAGTGCAGAGACCTGAGAACTGGACTAATGTGGTCGTACTTCCTGGTTCTAGTCAGGACTAATGTGGTCGTACTTCCTGGTTCTAGTCAGGACTAATATGGTCGTACTTCCTGGTTCTAGTCAGGACTAATGTGGTCGTACTTCCTGGTTCTAGTCAGGACTCGAGCTGCTGCAAATACATTTCACCCACATGTATTTTTGATGTGGGTGAAATGTGTTTTATCTAATCCCATGTGTCACGGTTAGAGCAGCGTTGTTCTGCTCAGGCGTCCTGATGTCAGGTCTGTAATCCTGTGTTTCAGGCCCTGAACGAGCTTTCGGAGCGAGAAGGAGAGTCCTTTCCCGACGAGGACTCGGGAGGAGGGAGCCTGCTCAGGTAAAGGACCGACAGATGTGGTGAATGATAGAGTTTTGCTGCAGTTAACACAAACAGAACAATATCCAATGGTCACACACTACAGAGACCCCGACCGTGGAAGTCACAGGAGCCTGAAGATCTGTGGCTTTGTGCATTTTCCAGACAATGAGAGGAAACAGGCTCAAAACATAACGTCAAAGAGAGTCCCACTGGATTTATTTTTTAAAAGCCACTCAGTTCCCAGGCTTCAATGGAGAGTTGGACTATTCTCCTTTTCTTTAAAGGGGCTCTGTGTATTTTTGACAGTTGCTCCAAATGAAAAAACATGTTCAACCAACAAAAAATGTGACCTTTTTCAGAATATTTACCTCCACCATGTTTTTTTTTTTGTGATAAATTCTTTATTGATTTTTCATTCTTGTTTCCGTCACCAAATACATGTGATCCAAGGTGTTACATTATTGTACTTTTATGTTGTCTACTCACACGTCAAAACAAATACATGCCTACAACACATTTGCCCTCCCCACACGCACACCATTCATTCTCATCCGTCCATCATCATACTTAAAGTACACACATCAACAACATACGAATACGAAAAAAAATAATAATAATAAAATAAAATAAAAGAAATACAACCCATGGCGGCTACCCTCCCCCCTCCCCCCTCCCTTCCCCAGGTGTCCAAGTTACATACATCCATACGTTAGTTAGGTTACATTACACATTATACTTTCTGAGTTCTTTTCCAGTTCCACCTCCTTCCAACTTATCCCTCCACCATGTTTTTGAATTCTTGTCATGGGCTTGGAATTTGACTCATACATGTCCATGAGGCTGAGGACTGTCCAGGTCAATGCTCCATCTTGAAATACAGTGGGGGATAAGGGACAAAAAGCAGTTTGAGCGGGAGTTGGGGACCACTGTCAAAGAGAACACATATTGTCCTGTGAAGCCACCGTAGTACTTCAGATTACAGTACATGATCTCAGGCTAGATGGGAGTAAAAACTACACAGTGTACCTTTAAGACCTTTTTTTAAAACTTTGAGCCCATTGAATATAAGGAGGCAGCAGAAGTGAAGTAAGTAAGTAAGTAAGTATTTATATGCGACACGGTGGCTGAGTGGATAGCACTCTCGCCTCTCAGCAAGAAGGTCCTGGGTTCGAATCCCGGTCGGACCAGGGCCTTTCTGAGTGGAGTTTGCATGTTCTCCCCGTGTCTGCGTAGGTTTCCTCCGGGTACTCTGGTTTCCCCTACCACAAAAAATATGTACAATAGGTCTGGCATGCGCCTCCTGTACTGGCCCCGCTCCCATCTCTGTGTGGAGTGACAAATGCCCCCAAAAAAAATAACACTTGTAAACCGCTTTGAGACTCAGATCTGCAAGTGAAAAGGCGGTATATAAATACTTACTTACTTACAGAAGTGAAGGATACTGATACTGTAAGCGCGGCCTACCCCTTCTTTCTCTAAGTCAGAGTATCACATAAATACATTTGAGAAGTACCTGAGTCCGCCAGAGCTGCAGCTGTCCGGAGTCTGCCCTGGAGGAGGCCAGAAGGCTCTTTTGCCGCGTTTAATAAAGGCGTTTAAAGATTTTGTGACTTTAAGACTTTTTAATGCCTCAGTCTTCTGTCTGAAACACAAACAGAAGTTTATTTATTCTTTTCACTTTGCTTTTCTTCAAGATGTGGCTGAAGCTGACCATCTCCGCTCTGCTCCCAACACATCTCTGACCCAAGGAAAACATTGTATTATTAGAAAGACAAAAGCACACTTGGACATAAGCACAGAAGGAACGAAAGGACAAAAAGACCATCCATATTTACACGTGACGATGAACCCAGATGATGCCCAGACGTCCTTTGGTTCAGTGGATTAACACACAACCTCATGAGATTGGATTAAATTAAACCATTTCACATTCATTAAACCTTTAATCACCTTTTGTGTGACGTAAAGCATGATTAGAGCTCAAATATACAGTATCTCTTTGTGGAATCTTACTTTGTTTTAGTACAATCAAACTGTATCTCAACCATTTGGTAAAGGCCTATAGTAAAAAAAAACACACACAAGAATGAACTATTTGTGTTATTAGTGTCCTACGTCTTAGAAAATCCCAAAAATAATAAAAGTAAGATTGCTTTCTTCAAGGAGTGAATGTTAAAGGGTTAATAATGAAAACAGAACCAAGAGTCCAACCACAGTTTTCTTTCTAAGTAGAGAAACAATCTGGATGCATTCACAAAGCTAACGTGGTGCAGGGAAGCTAACCTTCATATGTGAGTGGGTGGAGTGACGGAGCTCATACAGAAGTTTACTGGTGTGAAAAAGGAAGAGGAGGACTGAGAAACACAAATAACTTCTTCTCTTCCATAATGCATGAGCTGGAACGCTTCGGCAAAAGCTGTCGACAACTGTAGCGTCTATATGTCATCGACCAGTGGAGATTTCTGGATTATTAAGCGCATCGCATCTACTTTTGACACCAACGTTACTTTGCAAATGACAGGTCTTCTTCTGAGGACAAACATCAAGAGGCAAATAAACATGGATCTGAGTTCATTAAGGAATTTACAGAATCATCAGACGAGAGACGATGGTTTTGGTTTGTGTGGGCGTCTCCGTCTGACCAAGTCCCAGTCGGTTTACACTAAGGCTTAGAGGGTTCTTACAATTGTCTGGTTTAGTAAAACAAAATAACATAATCTACTAAGGCTAGATGAACCTTCCTATAGTAACAATCCTCTCTCCAGTCATTTCTCATGACCCAACTCCTCCACATTTGTATTTGTGACCTTTTTCCTCAGAAGTACCACTGCTGGACATAGTTGATCTTTAGCAACACAGTTCTCCACCTGTCCACCAGGGGGCGCTGCTGTCTCACTTCCAAAATGTCGGTCTCCTTAGTTTTTCACCGAAACAGATTTTCTAGGCATTCATTTCAAGTCAGTATCACGACCAACCTCTAATAAAGTGAAACCAAAACTGCAAAAAATGAATATATATATATATATCTTTAAACTCTTATTCAAAGAACCAGAAAAGCCTTAAAGATAAAGAAAACATAAAGAATGTTTTCACTATTTACTAAACTTACACGGTTGCCAGAATTTAAAGGTTGTGTTACTTTCTCTTGACATGATAATATCTGTGAAAAACTGCTCAAACGTCTGTTGTGTTGTTTCGCTCAGGGCCAAGTCCGTCTGCTCCATGAGCGACTTCCAGCGCCTGATGGACAGCTCGCCGTTTCTACCCGACAAAAGCCGCCTCTGCGACCGCGGCCCGGACGACGTCACACCCCCCCTCTCCCCCGACGACCTCAAGTACATCGAGGAGTTCAACAGTAAGGGCTGGGATTTCCCATCAGCCCTTGCTTCTGCTTCGACCATCTCTCCGCCGTTCCCCAGAGGAGCCGAATCGCTACCGCCGCCATCTTGGTATTTGACCACGAGCGCCACGTTGACCACAAGCACGCTGAGCAGTCCGGAACACTGCCACAGGACGCAGATGAGAGCTTCCGGAGCGGGAGCGGGGGTGGAGCATTATGGGTACTTGCACAGTCCGACCAGAACGTCCCAAGCTAGCAACGGCAGAGGTGCTAGCATGAACGACGAGGTGTTTAGCTCAGGGAGGTGGCCTTGCACTGGACTAAGGACTTCACCGAACCCGTCCATCTGCCCCAACGTGGCGTTCCCTTCTCCGCTAGAGCTGCAGCTGTCCCGAAACCTGAGCGACGACATGAAAGAAGTCGCGATATCCGTTCGAAACGCCATCCGCTCTCCGCCCAGCCCTCACCTCCGCGACATCTCCTGCCAGACCAACGGTTTCACCACGAGAGGTACGCAAACGACGCAGACGATTAGCGTAGGGCTCCAGACAGACTTGTTGCGCAATCTTACCAGCAGCCCGCACCGCTGTCTTACGCCTAAAGGGGGCAGCACTCCCGTCTCGTCTCCTTCGCGCAATACCAGGAAAGTGCAATACTCTCCGGTGATCCAGAGCAAGTTCGAGCGCCCGTGTTGCTCCCCGAAATACGGCTCGCCCAAGCTTCAACGCAAACCGTCGTCGGTGAGTAAGACGGATATCGCGAGCGGGGCAAATCGCGCGCCAATGCCGACCACGCCGCAAAAGGGTAACAGCGAATCAGCTTGGGCGCGTTCCACCACCACGCGGGATAGCCCCGTTCACACCACCATCAACGACGGGCTGTCCAGTCTCTTTAACATCATAGATCACACCCCAGTTAGCTTCGAACCCATGCAAAAGTTCAACAAGTCGCCTAGCCGGTCGCGCCCGTCCGAACCTAGCCCCAGTCACGAGCACAGGACTCAACCGGACGCCTCCAGGAACGCTAGGGGCAGATCTCCCAGTCCCGTGCAGCTAATCGTGGAGACTCACGGAGATAAGAACTCGGAGGTGGTTAGCGTACGGCAGGATCTGTCCGCTCCGCCCGGCTACACGCTGACGGAAAACGCAGCTCGGATTGTTAGCAAAAAGCTGCAGGAGAGTTGTAGAGAGGAGCGAAGGCAAAGCGGCCAGCGGGAAGGCGGGAGCAGGACGGCGGAGGCGGACAGGCAGCCGGGGTGTATGGAGGTAAATATGCAGCAGCCATGGATCCACCGCTTCATCCTTCATTTGATTTGGGGCCCGTGTTTCGTAGACCAGACCTATGTGTGACACGGCCAAACCCCCCAAAAGACAACAGAAAGATTACTGTGATTTCTTTTCCCAGATTGAAAGCTCTGACTGATGTGATGGTAATGTTCAATTTAAATATTCACTTTGCAACGGCTAGTTTTTTACTGCAGTGGTTCCCAACTGGTACGAAGGTGATGGTGTCATTACTGTAGACCAGGCCAAACTATGTGGCCTTTCTGCCTCGCTGACCCCAAACTAGTCTTTGAGATCATAAAAAAAGCATGTTCACAGTGTCATCCAGCCAACTTCAGCTCCGCCCCCAAAATAGACACGAACCTCTGGAGTTTTTGATTGAGTCACAAAAACACCACGGCGGCACGGTGGCTGAGTGGATAGCACTCTCGCCTCTCAGCAAGAAGGTCCTGGGTTCGAATCCCGGTTGGACCAGGGCCTTTCTGAGTGGAGTTTGCATGTTCTCCCCGTGTCTGCGTAGGTTTCCTCCGGGTGCTCCGGTTTCCCCTACCACTAAAAATATGTACAATAGGTCTGGCATGCGCCTCCTGTACTGGCCCCGCTCCCAAAAATAACAATTGTAAACCGCTTTGAGACTCCGATGTGCAGTGAAAAGGCGGTATATAAATAAAGATTACTTACTTACTTACTTACTATGTGGCCTTTCTGCCTCGCTGACCCAAACTAGTCTTTGAGATCATAAAAAAAGCATGTTCACAGTGTCATCCATCCAACTTCAGCTCCGCCCCCAAAATAGACACGAACCTCTGGAGGTTTTTGATTGAGTCACAAAAAAACACCACATATGAAGCTAATGTAGCCGTGGAGAGGCTACATTAGTGAGATGACTTCTGTTGTGACCTAGGGCTATACAAGAATAAATTGTATTGTATTGTATTGTATAGTAAACACTAGTTCAATACAAATTCAATGTATTTGTGTACGAACCTAAATCACAACAGCCGTCGTCTCGGAGGACTTTCTCAAAGTTGTCGATTCGCCAACAACAGATGAGAGAATTAAACAAAAGAAATACCGGAAATGCAATGATAGCAAACACACTTTTAGTAAATGTCTGTCAAATCTGAATCAATTTGGACATGTCGTACCATAAAGCCCAGAATCCAGGTTATCAGCACCTGGACAAGTCTGATGAAGGAATCTGCATAAACATGTGATCCAGGCCAACATTCTGTGAGAAACCTCTGTCTCCTATTGTTCCTGCTGTCGTTTCCATGCTGCCATATGGGGCCAGATTATAATTTGCTGCTAAAAAGCTACTCAAAAACTGCTAAATATCATTACAAAGCTAAAGCTAGCAGGCTATGGTCTCCGTGGACATTTGCAATTATGAAAGTTGTCCCCCATTAAAGCCGTGACCCGACTGTGTGCCCAATGACAGACATTCTGCTTTTCTTAATCACTTTAGAAGAAGCCTGGGAGCGGATGTTAAGATACGACATGTAGAGTCATTTACAAACTGAAGTGACCAAAAGTTCCACTGTAGTCACTTTGTCGCCGGGGCCTTTGCTTCTGATTGATTGACAGGTGTGCGACGATGACTGTCCAAACTTACAGATGTCATTACGGTAATTGATCCACAAAATGTTTTCCACAAGATTTATGCAATGAACAAATCAAATCAATAGGAAATGAAACTCAAAATGCAGTCGTGAAGTCAAACACTGTTCTTTATACACAGCATACACCCCTGACTGCGTGTGCGCCCCCAACTGGATATTTAAGAAAGTGCACCTAAACCAAAACTTTCCACCACATAAATGAATAAATATAATACCAATTAAACTAATAATTAGACCAAATTACAGGACAATAGTATCTAACTAAATTGGCCACAACACAAACTTGCAAATTAGCGAAAATAACAAAGAGATACAGTGTTTTTTTTATATAATTACCAGAGGTCCCTTGGTAATACTAATAAACTAATCCCTAAATTCATGTGTTGCCATAACGATAGCATCTTATAGTCCACTTAAAGGATATATAACTGATGGTAATGACACGAAACCCTTTGGAAACCACTGCTCACTCTTCATCTATTCTCTTCAGTGCTGTATCCACTGTTAGCTTGTGTCGCTAACGAGAATGTCTTGCAGTAACGACTCTGTTGGACCTCAGCCGGACTCTAATGCACTCAACTATACTCTTATAACGTGAATGTTTGTGTGTCGTCATAGTTACAGCGGCCGGAATGCCTGATTATATAAACACACTTCTCTGACTTGTATCGATGCATCCCCCAGTGTCGTGTCTAGAACCTCCGGAGCAGTCCATTTGACGGATGCTAGTCTCGGAAGTGCACACCTCGCTCCATTCATTTGCATGTACAATGTGGATCATTTTCTGTTTCTTGATATTCAACAGTTTATGGCAAAGATGCTGGTCCTGGACTGGTCCTGGTGTGGTCTCTCTTTCTATAGTCTCTCTCTGATCCCTCTCTGATCTCTCTCTGATCCCTCTCTGGTCTCTCTTTCTATAGTCTCTCTCTGATCCCTCTCTGGTCTCTCTTTCTATAGTCTCTCTCTGATCCCTCTCTGGTCTCTCTTTCTATAGTCTCTCTCTGATCCCTCTCTGGTCTCTATTTCTATAGTCTCTCTCTGATCCCTCTCTGGTCTCTCTTTCTATAGTCTCTCTCTGATCCCTCTCTGGTCTCTCTTTCTATAGTCTCTCTCTGATCCCTCTCTGGTCTCTCTTTCTATAGTCTCTCTCTGATCCCTCTCTGGTCTCTATTTCTATAGTCTCTCTCTGATCCCTCTCTGGTCTCTCTTTCTATAGTCTCTCTCTGATCCCTCTCTGGTCTCTCTTTCTATAGTCTCTCTCTGATCCCTTTCTGGTCTCTCTTTGTGATCTCTGTCTGATCTCTCTCTCTGGTCCCTCTGGTCTCTCACTGGTCTTTCTATCTCTCTGGTCTCTCTCTGGTCTCTCTCTCTCTCTAGTCCCTCTGGCCTCTCTCTGGTCTCTCTATCTCTCTGGTCTCTCTCTCTCTCTGGTCTTTCTATCTCTCTGGTCTCTCTCTCTCTCTCTGGTCTTTCTATCTCTCTGGTCTCTCTCTCTCTCTCTCTGGTCTTTCTATCTCTCTGGTCTCTCTCGGGTCTCTCTCTCTCTCTCTGGTCTCTCTCTCTCTCTCTGGTCTCTCTCTCTCTCTGGTCTTTCTATCTCTCTGGTCTCTCTCTCTCTCTCTCTGGTCTTTCTATCTCTCTGGTCTCTCTCTGGTCTCCCTTTGGTCTCTCTCTCTCTGGTCTCTCTCTTTCGCTCTCTCTCTGGTCTCTCTCTCTCTGGTCTCTCTCTCTCTCTCTCTCTCTCTCTCTCTCTCTCTCTGATCTGTCTATCCTCTATCTATGAAATAAATTTCTTCTCCTGGACTGGTCTCGGACTGGTCCTGGTTCAGCTTGTTTTTCCACCAGAGAAGAGCAAGTCCTAGTTACCATAGCAACACCCGGTTTACGGCAGTTAGCATTTAGCCTGTAGCATTAGCCTTTAACAACCATACTAAATACTATATCTACTATACTACTACTTTACTGTATTTCAGTCACACTCACTGTTTCTAGCTCTTATTAAAAGACAGTAAACATATAAACGACTTACTTTGGATAAACCTGGTGGAAAACTAAAACTTTTTTCGTGTAAATTTCTCAGAATTCCATTGGTTTGAATGGGAGCAGTCAAAATGGCGGCTCTGGGAGTTCTAGCACTTTGAGAATTCTGGGAGTCCTGGTGTAAAACTTGCTTTTATCTGTTTGTTGATATTAAAGGAGACATATTGTGCTTATTGGTGTTGTTCAGAGAGATACTACCGCACTAATATTTAGTTTACTTTACTCTTGCAAAGTTTCACATCTTTTTTCCGAGCACATCAACAAAGGTCTTTCTCTGGTCTGTCTCTGGTCGCTCACTTTGGTCTCGTTCTGGTCTCTCTTTCTCTCTGGTCTCTCTCTCTCACTCTCTCTGATCTCACTTGTTTCTGGTCTCTCTGGTATCTTTCTGGTCTATGGTCTCTCTCTGGTCTCTCCCTCTAGTCTCTCTCTTGCCTCTCTCTGGTCTCTTTCTCTCTCTTTTTCTTTTTCTCTCTCTCTCTCTGGTCTCTTTCTCTCTCTCTCTTTTTCTTTTTCTCTCTGGTCTCTTTCTCTCTCTCTCTTTTTCTTTTTCTCTCTGGTCTCTTTCTGCTCTCTCTCTCTCTCTGGTCTTACTTCTTTCTGGTCTATGGTCTCTCTCTGGTCTCTCCCTCTAGCCTCTCTCTTGCCTCTCTCCTCTGTTCTTACTTTCTGATCTCTCTCTCTAGTCCTGCTCTCTGGTCTCTCCCCAATCTCTCTCTCTCTCTGGTCTCACTTCTTTCTGGTCTCTGGTCTCACTTCTTTCTGGTCTCTGGTCTATCCCTCTTGTCTCTCTCTGGTCTCCCCCTCTTGTCTCGCTCCTCTCGTCTTGTCTTGTCTCGAAAATGGCGCCGTGGCAAGAGCTCTGGTGTGTGCGCACACCGGGGTAGTCTTGCACAGTTTTCCAATGTGGTTTACTGCAAATGGCAAATAAATGAATCTAAATGAATCTGATCTGATCTGATCTTACTTTCTGGTCTCTCTCTCTGGTCTCTCCCCAATCTCTCTCTCTCTCTCTCTGAAACACATGAATGCAACTGTAGAAAAAATGACAACCTATCAACATTTTATGCATAAACAAAAGTCCCACCCTTAACAAACAAGACATTCACACAACTCCAAGTTCCTTTTGATCCAATAATTCCCCTTTTTGAGCTTTAAAATCCCTCTCTCCACAAATACATTTATTTACAAATGATCTATCTCTAAAACAGATGATGGCAATAGATCGATACAGCTCTACTTTCATTTGTCTCTGTAAAATACCCAGAGATAGATTGGTTGTTTGTGAATCTAGGACAACAGAGGCTTACTCAAAACACACAACCAGCGGCGTATACCGAGGTGTATAATATGTCCCCTTTAAAAGAATCTCTTCTCTTCCTTCCTGGTGTTCCTGGTGTTCCTGGTGCCTAACCCTGCTCTCCTGTGTCCTCTGGTGCAGACCCATGTCATACTAACCACTCCCTGGGGGCTGTAGTCCGGATGTAAGTTCCCTGTCTCTCTGGGCCGTAGACGAGGGGCCCCCTGCTGGACGTGTCTTGTCACTGCATGCATCACAGGACAGACGTGTGACCCGCAGGAGACACCATCACTTTGACTCGTGCATGGTTTTTTTGTGCAGAGATCATCCGATGTAAAGGAGCACACAGTGTGGGTAGAAGCGGCTCTCCACTCCCCCCTAGTGGTGGTGAGTGGGGGTTGTCTCTGTCATGCACTTAAAGCCACGTAGAAAAAAAATAATACAAATATGAGGTAATAAGGGCTTTTTATCTTATTTTGAGCACTTTCTGACTGCATTAAAACAAAGATTCTCCAATGGAACAAAGTAATCTAGTCTTATTTAAAGAACTGTTGCTTTATTTTCCTCATTCCAAAGGAGACATTTTTGTATCTTTTGAAAACAAGATAATTTTGCTTTGTCCCATTGAAGAATCTTGTTTAAAGGCTCAAATTAAGATACATCTTTCCAGATTTGAGCAATTTCTGACTTATTTTCATCACTTTTAACAGTAAAATCTGGTTCTCAGTTTGGCTTTATCACTAGTTTTCACATATATGTATTTTTGGATAGAACCAGGACCAAGAGGGACTAAAGAAGGACCTGGTACTGGTTTCACAGGACTGGTGCAAGTCTCACAATTGTGGTAGAGTAGAGTAGAGTAGAGTAGAGTAGAGTAGAGTAGAGTAGAGTAGAGTAGAGTAGAGTAGAGTAGAGTAGAGGCAACCCACTTTCTAAGAACCACTGGAGAATGCCACTTTGAAAAAAAAATGCTAATAATGAAATCTATCCCAAACTGTCGAAGTAAATATAGTGTTGTTGGTGAACAGTAGAAACCCTCTGTGTGGCCCTTTACCTTCATCCAGACAGTAGAAACCCTCTGTGTGGTCCTTTACCTTCATCCAGACAGTAGAAACCCTCTGTGTGGCCCTTTACCTTCATCCAGACAGTAGAAACCCTCTGTGTGGTCCTTTACCTTCATCCAGACAGTAGAAACCCTCTGTGTGGCCCTTTACCTTCATCCAGACAGTAGAAACCCTCTGTGTGTGGCCCTTTACCTTCATCCAGACAGTAGAAACCCTCTGTGTGGCCCTTTACCTTCATCCAGACAGTAGAACCCTCTGTGTGGCCCTTTACCTTCATCCAGACAGTAGAAACCCTCTGTGTGGTCCTTTACCTTCATCCAGACAGTAGAAACCCTCTGTGTGGTCCTTTACCTTCATCCAGACAGTAGAAACCCTCTGTGTGGTCCTTTACCTTCATCCAGACAGTAGAAACCCTCTGTGTGGCCCTTTACCTTCATCCAGACAGTAGAAACCCTCTGTGTGGCCCTTTACCTTCATCCAGACAGTAGAAACCCTCTGTGTGGCCCTTTACCTTCATCCAGACAGTAGAAACCCTCCCTCTGTGTGAGATTTTGGTGGATTTTTGTGCCAAACTGTTCCTCAGTGTGCATCACGACCCTCCTCCTCCACACGGACAGAGCAGGTGTAGTCTGCTGGTCCTGCTCTGGGCTCACTCTGGTCCTGAGGCTGCCTGATTGTAAGGTTATTTTGTGCACAGTTCATACACAACTAGGGCGGAACAAAACAAGACAGTTCACAAGGCACATACATCAATAATCACAGCATGAATCTGAAACGCTTTAGTCCTGAGTCCCAGCAGGAGGCCGGTCCCTGTGCTCCTCCAGTCCCAGCAGGAGGCCGGTCCCTGTGCTCCTCAGAGTTCCAGCAGGAGGCCAGTCCCCTGTGCTCCTCAGAGTCCCAGCAGGAGGCCAGTCCCTGTGCTCCTCAGAGTCCCAGCAGGAGGCCAGTCCCTGTCCTCAGAGTTGGCCAGTCCCTGTGCTCCTCAGAGTCCAGCAGGAGGCCGGTCCCTGTGATTTTCTTTTCCTCCCTTTGGGACTTGATCTTCAGTGTCTGTTGTTCTTGCCTCTGTTGTTTGGACCTACATTAAAGACTGAAGATGTTCTGTTTCCATCCTTTCATGACGTGTGTTGGTTTGTTACTCATTTATCACTTCACCAGCTCTCAGCCTGTCTCTCTCTCTCTCTCTGTCTGTCTCTGTCTCAGCCTGTCTCTGTGTCTGTTTCTGTCCTGTCTGCCAATTGTCTGTCTCTGTGTCTGATTATGACTGTCAGCATTGTCTGTGCTGTCTGTCTCTATGTTGAATCTGTATGTCAGCCTTTGATCTGTCTTACAGTAAATTATGTATTTTGTCTGCCTCTTGACAGTCAAGTTTTTCTTTCTGCATATGTCTTTCCTGCAGCAGTAAATGACTTTCTCTGTCTGTTCTGTCTCACGCTGTTTCTCTGGATATCAGTCAAGTTGTCTGTCTGCCTATTTTGTTTGTCTACGTATCGGGATCTCTTTGTATGTCTTGTTTGTCTGTCTGTTAGTCTTTTATCTATCAGTGTTCTCTGTCTCTGTCTCAGTCTTTCTTCAGTCTGTTTACTCTGTCTCTGTGCATCTCTGACTGACTCTCTGTACTGTCTGCCACTTGTTTCTTACATCAAACTATTAACTTAGTCACCACTCATAGTTTACTATGTCAAAGATGTTCAGTGACATAAAACCTCCAACCCCCATTTATGCAAAAAATCTGGACCAAATAACTGCAATAGCAACCAAGCACATGTAAAGAGGAACTGAGGATACCCCATAAATCTCGCCATTTATACCTTCAACAAAATATCAACTATCTCAAACCAGCCCTAATCGCATAAAAAGTCCTGTGCCATTACCTGCAATCCTGTTGTCTCTCATGAGTACAAATACCACACACGAGAAGCAGGAATCAACAGGCTGCAGATAGAACCGTGACCAAACCCATACAGCCATTTCAGTGGATCGCTCAACTTGCACTAACAAAAACCACCATTGTAATGTGGATAAATAAAAGTAATGCCTCATAAAGTCCCCAACTGAATTATAGTTGTTGTGTGGTGCCATCCTACAGGTGAAATTTTTGTCTGATCTCAGAGTAAGCAGGGGAGGGCCTGGTTACTACTTGATGGGGAGTCCTCTGGGGATATGTGCCAGTGTGCGCAGTTGTGTGTCCTAAGTAAGACATTCTCCTTTCTACTTTTCTTAGAATGAGCCTGATGTGTAAGTGATTGGTCAGATACACTTTATAGATTGGTCGGGTAGTTTATAACAAAACGAAAGGACAGACACAGTTACGATCTGCTTAAACCATACCTGGAGATTTTTAATTTTATTCATGTATCTTTTGCAAAGGCCTAAAAAACTACTAGATTCATTTTAGAGGGACTTAAAGTTGACGATTCGCAACAAGAACTGCACCCCAAACTGTTTTTTAGCGTTTGTTAACACCCATTACCACACGACAGAATTGTTGGCATGAAAAAGTGCTATGGTATCCAACCTGCATCACTCCAAAGATAATCACTGATTCTCAAATCAAGACGGTCTCAACTTCTGTCCAAAAAGTTTAAGTTAAAGATGTCCGTCCAAAGGATCCAAATCCAATCGACCACCTGTCACTGCTGGCTTGACCTATGGCCCTGCACTAAACAAAGGGGACACAGGGATATCAGGGATGGTCAACATTTAAGGTTGGAAGCAAACCTGGACCAGACTTTAACTTTTGTACAAAAATGACAAGACTAAATGTTAAATGTTCATTATGTCGTCTGTTGAAGGTCTGGATGTTTAATAAAACCAAAGTGAAAGAAGCTACATGACTAGCTTTTCTTAACACCTTGTCGTATTTGCTTTACATTATCTATCACTGTGCAGAGCTTGTACAGGGAAACATCAGAAAAAATCAAAGTTTTGACGATTAAAGCCTAGCAACAGTACAAAAACTAATCTTATCTGCCAAAGAATCTTCGCAGAAACCTCGCAGCCAACACAAGCGCATCAGCGCATCCGCCCATTCTTTTAAAAAAACATATGGTTTTCTTCAAAAATCAGTTCTTACGAAGAGTGGAGGACAGTTTTCATCTTGTCTTGTAGCTTACCTCTTAATGGTTTGCTAATCATTTGGAGGATCACTTTTTTCTGAGACACTTTTCTATACACGTCAAGTTAATCACAACATTTTGCAGAGGCCTGATACTAAAAACTCTGGCGAGTTAAAACCGATTTATTTTGTAAATTAGTCTCATACCAATCAAAAATAACTGGCTTACTTTCGGAGTGAAATTAAAAGGGGTTAAGACTGAGTACTTTGCTTTGGAAAGCCCGATTGTCTTCTCCGGCCAAGGCACGCAGACCTACACAGTATTACTCCATATACGCATCTCATCGACCTTCAAAAGAAAAAAATCGTCAACCTTGAACCGCAACATCCGATCTCGATGTGGTTTGTGTCATTCAATCCTCTCTAACAACAAGTGATGTACCAAAAAACGTTGCCTGGTTTGGTTTGTGGCCACCTCTTGCCTCTTTCACGCTCACTCTCTCTCTCCTCATCAGCACTGCCTCGCTGCCTGTGGCTCCTCCTCTGGATCCTGCTTCCCCCGTACCCGCGCGACTGCCACCGCCGGCCACGACACTGTTGTCCGGTACCCCGTCCCTACCTCCTAATCTCCCATTCCCCTATCAAACCCAAATCCCCTTCTCATTCCTTCCCTTACATCTAATTATCTACCTCATTAACATCAATTTATACTCATCCCCCTCCCTAAACCCCCTCATCCACAACACAACAACCAAACAACCCAACAATTAACCCATCATACTCATCACAACTCATCACATCTACACATTCCTACTTTCAACATAAACCATAATTAAAACCTCCATTACACCTTAACTAACAAACACACTCTCTACCTTCTCACTCAACAAACAATCACCCTACTTACTTCTCCCAACCTTTATATATCCTCCCCAACCCCCACATTCAAAAAAACATCAACCCTACATCTACCCCATTTCAAATTTAAAACCCTCCACCCCACCCCCTCCCATCCCATTTCTAAAACCACTAAACCACCCAAAAAAATATCATTC